ATCATTTAGAGCCTTAGTCATAAGTAATTATTGTTGTCTGCACTTGGTGCAGTTGCATTGTTTTTGGGTTTTTTTCCTCGCATTTTTGAAAGATGTGCGGTCACATCATCGCTTTCATACGTTCTTTTAATGTTGATTGTTACTTAGGCACTTTGTTGTATATTTTTATGACTTTGTTTTATTATTGTTAGAACAGAGTGTTTTAAAGAAGGCGGTATTGAAACACAGAGATCGAAACACATCCGACAACGGCGAGGGTTGATCGCAGACTGAAGTAGATTTAAAAGCTTTAAATATCCTTTAACAATTCCAAGCCTTCCTTGGAAAACAAAATGCTTTAAAAAATTCGCCCATTTTTGTGGGTTTGAAAAAGTTCCTTTAGAAAATCTACATATTTTTGTATTGTTGAAAATATGTTCTATATTTATATTATATATTTGAAAGTAAGGGGTCTCAGGAACTTAAATCAATTTACACAATATTAATATCCTCAATAGTTTCTTATATATATTAAAAATACTAATACACCATAATAATTAATAATAGTTATACGCACCCAGGGTCAATAAAAATGTTTCTTCATTTTGCTTGCATTTCCTATTATATTGGAATATTTTTTGAAGCCCATTTTAAAAGTTAAAATATATATTTAATGCCAGCCAAAAAATCTAGCTAGGTAGAAAAAAAAAATTGACAAATATGGAATTATTTTCAAAGAAAAAATAAATTGGCAGATTTTTTTTTTTTAAATTTTGATAAAAAATTAAAAAATCTCTTAGAAAGTGCTAATATATTTGAATGAATGGTAACATATGTTGAAGGCTTAAGGTCTCAAGAAGTAAATTCAATTTACAGAATATAAAAATCCCAAATAGTTTCTGAAATATATGCAAAATACTAAGATGTCATCATAATTAATAATAGTCATACGCACCCTGGGCCAATTGAAATATTTCTTTATTTTACTTGATTTTCTCAATATATTTGAATATTTTGCAAAGGATATTTTGAAATCTTCAAATGCTGAGCTGCTTGAAAAATACTCTCAAATAAATTCAAGATCTGAGCAAGATTAAAAATTATTTTTTTTTAAATGCACGCTCTGATAATTTTCCAAAAAACCATTTCATTTGTTGATTTTTTGTTTTTTAATGGAAATGGTGTAAGTTGTTGTGTAGTGACGTTTTTTTTATTAAAATTATTATTCTAATTTTAGAAACTTAATAAATCTTTTGATTACTCTTAATGGCTGCACCATCATGCATGAAATCATCTATGAAAAATTATTTTTGTTAATTTTTTATTGTTTCTACTTAGAGCACGATAGATGATACTGAGTTTAATTTCAAAACAAAAAAGCCAGTTTGTCTTTGCAAAAATTAGAAAATGCATAAAATATTGAAAAATAATTTCATTCTCTTAATTTTTTCCTACCTCAACGTTGTTTTTATTACTTTTATTCAGCTAATTGTTTATTTTTATTTTGGTGTCATCACTCAACCCCTGTCTCTGTCTCTGTGGTGTCATTAATTTGTTGTTTAACCCATGGGTTGTGAGGTTTTTTGTCGATGTTGGATTTTTTTCTTCTAAAATTCCATGCATTTTAAATTAGCAGTAGTAGTTTTTTGAGTTTTTTTTTATTTTCTACTATTTTTTTCTCCTATTGTGATTTGGGCATGAGATTTGTTTTTTCGTGTTATTGTATTTTAATTAGAACATTAGAACGAATGCCGGTTTCGTCGGAACACAAAGTAACTGGGGTCATTCAGTTTTCTACGAGCAGTAAACGAAAGCAGTTGTGTTTTTTTCAAAAGAAAGTTCTAGGAAGTGCATTAATCCAGAAATAAAAAAATGTTTACATGTAAGGTGGAAAAATAACAATAAAATTAAATTAAAAAATATTTAAAAAAATCGACCCAAATATTTTAAATAATTTCGAAATTTTGAAAATAAATTTTCTAACAATATGTTTTCCTTCGTGGTGCCATTCATAACAATATTTTTCCATGGTGACTCATTGGAAAATATATACACACACAGTGTGTATATCTTATAGATGAACTCATCCTGACTGGCTGGGTGGCATGTAACCTTCAATTGCAAAAACTACTACGTAGTAGTACTACAAGTACAAGTGCACTTAGAAAACAAAATCGGAAAAAATAAAATTCAATATGTATAGAATTTTTTTCCAATACAGAATAAATTTGAAATTATTTTTCTTACATATTTTTAATTTAAAATCAATTTTGTGAAACAAAAAACAATTGTGTGAAATTTCATGGTTGAATGAACTTGCAAAGTGTGTGTTCGTTTGTTTTTTATTTTGAAAAATTTATAGTTTTGAAAATATAATGCTAATTAAGTGGGTCATAAAAATCTTTACTCGGTTCGCTATTCAAAAAGAATTTTTATAATAAATATTCATCAGCCATAAAAACTAATGAGAGTGATGAATTAACAGCGAAAAAGAAAAAAATGCTGCTAGAAAAAATATTAAATTCTTGGCAATCAAATAAAAAATTACGTATGAGTTGTTTACACGAATGAATGATTGGTGAATATTTTGAAAGTCTGGAGTCTCAAGAAACGAAAGCAATTCACAGAATATCAATATCACAAATAGTTTCTTAAATATCCGCAAAATACGAAGATTTCATAATAATTAATAATAGTTATACGCACCCAGGGTCATTTCCTCATATTTTCTCATTCTGCTAGTTTTTCCTAATATTTGAAACAATTTTTGAAGGATATTTTAAAAACGAAAAAATATAAATTTGAAGCCAGACAAAAAATCTATCTAGGTAGAGGAAAAAATCGAAAAAATGAGGATTTAATTTCGAAGAAAAAATAATTTTTAAAATATTAAAAAATCTACTAAAAATTGTCCCTAAATTTAAATAAAAGACAATTTATTTTAAAAGTCTGGGGTTTCAAGAATCGAATTCAATTTACAGATTACCAACATCACAAACATTTTCATAAATATCCCGAGAATACTAAGATTCCATAATAATTAATAATAGTTATACGCACCCAGGGTCATTTCCTAATATTTCCTCATTTTGCTAGTTTTTCCAATAATATTTAAAAAAATGTTTAAGGATATTTTAAAAACGAAAAAATGTAAATTTGAAGCCAGATAAATATCTATCTAGGTAGAGGAAAAAATATCGAAAAATGCGGATTTAATTTGGAAGAAAAAAATATTTTTTAAAATAATTAATTTAAAAAAAAAATTACTTAAAAAACTCCCTTAATTTAAATAAAAGGCAATATATTTTAAAAGTCTGGAGTCTCAAGAATCGAAATCAATTAACAGAATATTAATATTCCAAATAACTTCTTAAATATCCTGAAAATACTCCATAATAATTAATAATAGTTATACGCACCCTGGGCCAGTTTGAATATTTCCTCATTTTCCTAGTTTTTCCTATTATATTTTAAAAATTTTTGAAGGGGATTTTAAAAATGAAAATATAGAAATTTAAAGCCAGACAAAAAATCTATCTAGGTAGAGGAAAAAAATCGAAAAATGCGGATTTAATTTCGAAGAAAAACTATTTTTTTAAATATTAAAAAATCTACTAAAAATTGTTTCTACATTCAAATAAATGGTAACACATTTGGAAAGCTTGGAGTCTCAAGAATCGAAATCAATTAACAGAATATCAATATCCCAAATAGTTGCATAAATATCCGCATATCACTAAGTTCTCATAATAATTAATACTAGTTATACGCACCCAGGGTCAATTGAAATTGTTCTTAAATTTGCTTGCATTTCCTAAAAGAATTGAAGATTTTTTAAAGGATATTTTAAAAATAAAGTAATTAATTTTAATTCCGGACAAAAAAATCTACTTAGGTAGAGTAAAAATCATCGAAAATGGCGGATTGTAAAGAAAGAGTTCATTTTATTTTAATGCAGCATTTTTTATTTCTTTAAAAAATATTGCGAAATCTCTTAAAAAGTGTTAGAACATTTGAATGAATGTTAACATAATTTTAAAGTCTGAAATCTCAAGGATCAAAATCAATCTACAGAATATAAAAATCCCAAATAGTTTTATAAATATCCTCAAATTACAAGGCTTCCATAATAATTAATAATAGTTATCCGCACCGTGGGCCAGTGAAAATTTTTTTCTTTATTTTGCTTGATTTTCTTATTATATTCGAATATTTTTTTAAGGAATATTAAAGCCAGATAAGACATCTACCTAGGTGGAGTAAAAAATAGGAACAAATATATTTATTTTTAAAGAAAAATAATGTTTTATTTAATGCATAACTATTTTTTCTAAATTTCTTCATATAATATTAAAATATTTCATATAAATTGCATGTGTACTTGAATGATTCGAATATATTCTAATAGTCTGGAGTCTCCTGAATGCAATTCATTTTGTAGAACGCAAATATTCCTTATACTTTTTTAGTTATCGTAAAAATAGTAAAGTTCCATTGCAATTGATATTAGTTATACGCACCCTGGTCCCTTTGACATATTTCCTTATTTTCATAGCTTCGCTTAGGATATTTAAATATTTTTGATGGGTATTTGAACTATGAAATAAAAAAGTTGTAATGATATGCGAATATGGGAGTTCGGACTATGAAAAGAGATGAAAACTTTCAAAATGAAAAAAAATATTTTGTGAATGGATAAAAGAAATATTTTCTGTGGATAAAAAAATTTTTTATCCAAAATATCATATGTCATTGGAATCTAAACCTACAATAACAAAAAAATCCGAACTCTTCTAAAGTTCTTCAAAAATGAATGAGGAATCGAATTTTTTATAAAATTTTTTTTGCACATTGAAAATGATATTTTTCTGGAAAATCTGTAATCCTTAGGTTCTAAAAGCTTGGTATAAATTAACATTGTTTTAGAAATGCCCGAACACTTTTTTTACTTTTGTATATAGTCTAGATTATATCTAAATTGATTTTTAATCGAAAATATCTAATTTTTAAATATTTTTTTTTGTTCCTTTGCAGCCTCTCTCAAAAGCTTGGGCGATAAGACCGCCAACTTGTTCTCCAAGAAGAAGGAAGAAGTCGAGAAATTAGCCAAAGAAAAGGTTGATGATGTCAAGGAGGCAGCAGAAGATCAAGCCAAGAAGGTTGGAGAATCGATACAGAAGACCAAGAGTGAAACTGAGAAATTGGCCGCTGATGCTGGTGAGTAAATCGAACATTATTTTTTCAAGGCCTAAGGGCGAACATTATTTTTTCAAGGCCTAAGGGCGGACTTTTAAAAATAAAGACATTTTTAAGTCCTACATTTAGGCTTAAATTAAAAAAAAATAAATCAAGGCCTACATTTAGGCGTGGGTTTTTTAAAATTAGTTTTTGAAGGCCTATAAATGGGCGTGGATTTTTTAAACTTATTTTTTCAAGGTCTATAGTTAGGCGTGGACTTTTTTAAACTTATTTTTTTCAAGGCCTATATTTAGGCGTGGATTTTCTAAACTCATTTTTTTCAAGGCCTACATTTAGGCGTGGATTTTCTAAACTTACTTTTTCAAGGTCTACATTTAGGCGTGGATTTTTTAAACTTATTTTTTTCAAGGCCTACATTTAGGCGTGGATTTTTTAAACTTATTTTTTTCAAGGCCTACATTTAGGTCTGGATTTTTTAAATTTATTTTTTTCAAGGCCTACATTTAGGCGTGGATTTTTTTTAACTTATTTTTTTTCAAGGCCTACATTTAGGCGTGGATTCTTTAAACTTATTTCTTTGAAGGCCTACATTTAGGCGTGGATTTTTTAAATTTATTTTTTTTCAAGGCCTACATTTAGGCGTGGATTTTTCAAACTTATTTTTTTCAAGGCCTACATTTGGGCGTGGATTTTCTAAACTTATTTTCTCAAGGCCTTCATTAAGGCGACGATTTTAGGCTTGGATTTTTTCAAATTATTTTTCCAAAGCCTACATTTAGGCGTGGATTTTTTGAAACTTGTTTTTTTAAGGCCTACATTAGGGCGACGATTTTAGGCTTGGATTTTTTTAAAAATTATTTTTCCAAAGCCTACATTTAGGCGTGGATTTTTTAAACTTATTTTTTTCAAGGCCTACATTTAGGCTTGGATTTTTTCAAAATTATTTTTCCGAAGCCTACATTAGGGCGACGATTTTAGGCTTGGAATTTTAAAAATTATTTTTCCAAAGCCTACATTTAGGCTTGGATTTTTTAAACTTATTTTTTTCAAGGCCTACATTAGGGGGAGGATTTTAAGCTTGGATTTTTTAAAAATTATTTTTCCAAAGCCTACATTTAGGCGTGGATTTTTTTTTAAATTATTTTTTCAAGGCCTACATTAGGGCGAGGATTTTAGGCTTGGATTTTTTAAAAATTATTTTTCCAAAGCCTACATTTAGGCGTGGATTTTTTAAATTATTTTTTTTTTCAAGGCCTACATTTGGGCGACGATTTTAGGCTTAGAATTCTAAAAATATTTTTTTCAAGGCCTGGATTTTTAAAAAATATTTCTTTTCATTTAGGCGTGGATTTTTAAAAATTAGTTTTTAATAAATTTTATTTTTCTATTAATTTTTTCTAGCCAAGGAAGCTGCTGACTTAGCTGCCGAAGAGGCCAAGAAGGCCGAACAAGCCGTTGCCGATGGTGTCGGCAAGGCCAATGCTGCCGTTGACAATACCAAGAATGTCATCAACAATACCACCCAACAGGTTAATAATGTGGCCGCCAATACCAAACAAATTGCTGGCAATGTAGCTGAGGCCTCCAAACAGGTAAGGGGGATTAGGAAAAAAATTAAGATTTTTTTTAATTATTAAATTGTTGTAAACGATTTCAGGCCGCCGCCAATGCCGTCGATCAAACCAAAAAAGCCGCCAACGATGCCATCAACAAATCCGTCAAGGCTGCCGAACAGGTGATCGAGGATAAAATGAAGCAAGCCGAACACACTGTCGACGAAACTGTGAAAGCTGCCAGCCAAACTGTGGACCACAAAATTGCCGAGGCTAATCAGTATGTCGATCAAAAGCGAGTGGATTTGGAAAAGACTTTGCAGGAAACCGCTCAAAGTGGTCACGATTTGGCTGCCCAGCAGGCTGCCGGTTTAATGGGCAAATTGAATTTGGCCAAATAAGTTGGAGGTGGAGCAGGGAAATGAGGAGAAGATCGTAGATAACAATGAAATTAACTAACAGCAACAAAAAGGATATTAAAATTAAAACAACAACAGCTTCTTTAATTAGAAAAAAATAAGAAAAAAAAAACAATTTAAATGTGCCGTGCCAGTTTTTGTGATTTTTTTTTTTGAAAAGTAGAAAAGAGAAGGTATTGCAGGAAGAAGAGATGAAGAAGGAGAAAATGAAAATATTTTTTCTAAACTGTATTTGTAAAGAAGAAGCATTTCAATTATGCTATAAATAGTTAACACGAGGCCTAAATATAAATCTCTCTCTTTCACACACACACTTTCACTCACACACACACAGAACTTTCACAGGCAACAAAATCGCTTTGTAGTTTGTAAAGAAACTAAACTGAAAAATGAAGAAATAAAAACAACAACAACAACAGAAAAGTGTATTTTAAAAATAAATACAGGAAATTGTAACACTATTTGCAGCTAATGTCAAAATGTTATATACAAACTTATATATAAATATATTTTATATATATAGTTTTTATTTTTGAGAATTTTTTAATTTTTTTTTTGGTTGCAAATAAAACAGGTTTTTAAACTCAAATTTATGAATTTATATTTTTATATAATAGCAGCAACAACAACAACAATTTCTTATTTTTTTATAACAACAATTTACAACTACTTTTGAATTTTTTTCTTTAAAATTGTTGTAAAGATTTTTTCCATCCTTTTTATTATTTAAAAAAAATATTTTTTTCTTTTAATGAGCAAGTCGAACAAAAACTTGTGTATTTTCGTTTTTTTTTAAATATTAGTTTTTTAATTTATTTTATTTTTTTCTTATGTATTATAAACAAATATATTTTTTCTTTAATTTTAAAATAAAAAATATATATAAATAAATGTAATTTCTTAATAAAACAAATGAATTTAAAAATAAAGAAATAAAATAAAAAAATAAAAATAAATTTATTTCAATATTTCTTTAAGGCTTACACATAGGCGTGAATTTAGTAGAAATACATTTTCAAGGCCAACCACAATTTACAAAAAAAAAAGCCCATATTAAGGCGTGGATTTTTATACCCTACACAGATATGTTGTCAGGTTATTATAGCTTTGTGCAGCCCCAAAAGTTTGTAACGCCGCGATATATTGGTCCTAGACCCACCTTTAAGTATACCGATCGTCATATCTCGACTAGCTGAGTCGATCTACACATGTACGTTCGTCCGTCTGTCCATTATAATTTGTAAACACGATACAGGCCACAGTTATGGACCAATCTTCACGAAATTTTGCATGTAGGACCGGTTCTGGCCAATGATGACCCCTATTGTTTTTGGTAAAGATCGGTTAATATTTAGGGGATGAAATGGACCAAATTCTTTATTTTTTGTCGGTTTTTCTGGTCCCTCCAGAGGCCGCAATTATGGCCCGAACATCGCGAAATTTTACATGGATAACGGTCTCGGGCTAAATAATAAGCATGCCTGTTTTGATAAAGATCGGTCAATATATAGCGGGTCAAATGGACGCTGACTTTTGTGAGAAAAATGACAAATTTTGTATTCTATGGCGTATATTTTTACTCCTGAAACACATAGACCCGAAAAGTTGATAGTGTATCCAAGAGGAGTGGTTGACCTTTAAATTGATACCAATTATATTGTCGTGAGTACTCGGTTGTGGGTATTATACTTAAAGACTTACAGGTACTTGCGTATTAAGGTATTATTTAGTAACCCATTACCACATTAGAGGGCGGAAATAGCGCTGATCGCTTTGAAATTTTCCAGGAGGTCGAGGACGACGTCTATAATTTTCAGTGATGATTAGATAATAATAAGCGGACCAAACCAATTTTTTTTTGTTTTTTTCACGTCGATGTATAGGCCACAATTATAATCCGAAAATCACCAAACAAACCATGGTGAAGGGAACCTGGACAATTGAATAGAAGGAGTGTATTCAATATTAGTAATATTCGAAAATATGTCAGTGTAAGGAAGAGGTGCTGTTGACCTCTAATCGGGCAAAAGGGTGCAACTCTCACAAAATATTGCTCAGGTTCGGAATTAAAATCCCTAGAAAGTTAGAGTTCCGTGGTAGTTGTATCGTATTGTCGGCCCCGTCCAACTATACTGCTCCCCTCACTGGTTTAGGCCTATATTTAGGCGTGGATATTTTAAATAATTTTTTTCAAGCCCTTTCAAACACTGTGGTATAGTGTATTATGTCTTTGTGCATATGTTTGTAATAGGCAAAAGGAAACGAGATAGACACTTGGTTCCTTTTGAGAATATGCATCACTCTCTAAACCGATTTCTGCTTGTTCGTCCGTCCGTCTGTCTCTCTACGTTATATTGTAAACAAAGAACAGGTCGCATTTATGAACCGAATTGTATGAAATTTGGCATACGTCACTTATTTGGCCCAAGGACGAACCCTATTGAAATTGGGAAAAATCGTTTCAGATTTACATATAGCTCCCATATATATTCGTCCGATTTAAGGTAAATGGTGTACCAAAGTCCCTATATATTTTTCCATTTGTACGAAATTTGGCATAGCGTACCGAATAAAGTCTAGAATGATGTGTGTTATGTTTCGTGAAAATCGGTTCAGATTTAGATATAGCTCCCATATATATTTTCGTTCGATTTAATGTAAACGGTGCACCAAAGTCCCTATATATCTTTCGATTTGCACGAAATTTGGTATAGGGTACTGAATTAAGTCCAGAATGATGTGTGTTAAGTTTCCTGAAAATCGGTTCAGATTTACGTATAGCTCCCATATATATTTTCGTCCGATTTAATGAAAAATATGCACCAAAGACCCTATATATCTTCCGATTTGTATGAAATATGGCACATCGTAATGTATTAGGTCTAGAATGATGTGTGTTAAGTTTCCTGAAAATCGGTTCAGATTTACGTATAGCTCCCATATATATTTTCGTCCGATTTAATGAAAATGGTGTACCAAAGTCCCTACATATTTTTCGATTTGAACGAAATTTGGCATAGCGTACTGAATTACGTCTAGAATGATGTGTGCTAAGTTTCGTGAAAATCGGTTCAGATTTACATATAGCTCCCATATATATTTTTGTCCGATGGTTCAAAAAGTCCCTATATATCTTTCGATTTGCACGAAATTTGGCATACCGTACTGGGTTGAGTCTAGAATGATGTGTGCAAAGTTTCGTAAAAATCGGATCAGGTTTAGATATAGCTCCCATATATATTTTCGTCCGATTTAAGGTAAATGGTGTACCGAAGTCCCTACATATTTATCGATTTGCCCGAAATTTGGCATAGGGTATTGAAGTAGGTCTAGCATGTTGTTTGTTAAGTTTCGTGAAAATCGGTTCAGATTTAGATATGGCTCCCATATATATTTTCGTCCGATTTAAGGTATATTGTGTACCAAAGACCCTATATATTTTTGGATTTGTACGAAATTTGCCATAGCGTACTGAATTAAGTCTAGAATGCCGTGTGCTAAGTTTCGTGAAAATCGGTTCAGATTTAGATATAAATGCCATATATATTTTCGTCCGATTTAAGGTTAATGGTGTACTAAAGTTCAGATATATTTTCGATTTGCACGAAATTTGGTATAGAGTTCTGAATCGAGCCTAGAATCCAAATAATCAACGGGTGTCCAATTGATATTTACTTTAAACTGATTTATATATTTTTGTCCCATTGAAAGAAACAACCCTATATCTGACCAAATGAAAAATTTAGTATCGGTTGCTGGATGACATGTTTATGGATCCAATTTCATTTTACTGGTCCTCCAAAATTTGCGATGTGTGTTAGGATTCCATCTGTTGAATATACCCAAAGTGGTGAAGGGATCATATAGTCGGTTCCCTCCAATTTTACTACTTTCCTTACTTGTTTAAAAGTAGTCTAGGGCCTACAGGGGTGTATTGTTATAAAATTATTTATTTGAGGTCTACATTATGGCCCTGATGTTTTTGGAATATTGCTTAAATAATTATTGTATGTCTGTACATTATAAAATATTACAGTTCGGACGGTAGTCAAGAGATGGCGTGTGTATTGGTAGGCAGATATGTTTTGATTGTATGACCCCTTTAGGATTCTTTGCAATATTTCTGGATTTACTAATGGCCTCAATTATTGTAAATTAGCTCCATAAATTTCCCTTACACTTTATCATTATGCCAGAAAGGGGTCACCAAAAGGGAAGGTGACGACGACAAACTGTGTCACAATAATGCGCTCACTTTCGATGATAACGTTATTAAAAAAAAGAGAATTGTTTTTATTCGATTTTCATCACTTAGTTAGTTTTTTTTTATTATCAGCTTCTTCATTTTCGATTTATTTGCTATTGTCCTGCACCTGGTCTAACTGTGTGTTTGTGTAAATATACCATAGCTATGAATGAATCATAAAACTATGATTACACTATCCTCAATTTCCTTTTTGATAGTCGATGGGTCCTTTATGGGGTTTGAATTTTTCTATTCTGCTTTTTTGTGTCATTTCGAACTTTGAATTTTCCGAGTTTTTTTTTGTTTTTTGATTTAAGTGCAAATTGTAATGGGATTTTTTTATTATCGCTAAAAGGAGATGGAGAGGCGAGAGGGTTAAATGTTGTCCGAAAGGTTGACTCGACTGTTATCACTAATGGAGTTAAGAAGAAATGGAAAGAGGGGTAGGAGGAGGTGGAAGGGGAAATACGGCGCAGAATTTGATGGGCTATCAAGTTTCTAATTCAATTGATATTCATTGTGTTCGGCAGAGATTGGAAATGAAAACATTTTCAACAAAAATTGAGATTTATTGGTAAATGAGAGATGGAGGGGATAACAAGGATGTTAACAGGTTAAATAAATGGAATTTATGGAAATGATATTTGGAAATAATAGAGACAAGAAAGGCAATATAAAAATAAAGCTATGGCTGAAAAAAATATTTTTCAAAGTCTACATATAGGCGTGGATTTTTTTCTAAAT